TCTAGACAACCGGCTCACAGATGACGGTGAGGTTGTCAGCCTTACGCTCCGGCCGCCCTTTATCCCTCAGGCAGACTTCTGGTACTCATTTCTGTTAGAAGCTGAGTCGACCCCAAAGCCATAGTGCGGCTGGAAGGATTAAGTCAACTGAAAAATCCAATAACCTCATCGGGAATCGAACCCGCGACCTTCTGGCTTGTATCGTAGTGTCTGAACGCACTACGCTAACGCGTGCTCCCGGTAAGATGACTATATGATGAATTAGAAGGAATGTGGAAGGCACCTGTCGTCGCTTATCTCAAGGTAATATATTATCATTCGCTTGGAGGGATTGAGATGTCAGTCCGAGTAGCCGGTAGCCCCGTCGATACTCGAACCAAGGACCGAATATAAGTCTAGGGCCAGGACCGTGGTACAACTCAGGAGGTTACGCGCCGGCTTCCCACCACGGCGGACCATGTTCGATCCCAAGTAGACATGTGGGATTTGTAGTGGACATGAGTGGCAGTGGGGCAGGTTTTCTTATAGTATATCGATTTCCCCTGTCCATTCTCATCCCCCGAACTACTCCACTCTCATCCATCACCAGGGCTGGTACAGTAGGTTCACTAGGACCGGTACACCGATTGGACTCAGTCTCACCCCATTCTACGAGTAAAAAGATACAACAACCTGCTCGTTAATTTTTCTCTTATGTTTTCCATGTATGTTCTTGTTTTTTCTCCTCACCCATCCAATGCATTACAGGTTTATTTGACAATAATAAGTACATTTACTGTCATTTATCGATTTATGTTTTCCATGTATGTTCTTGTTTTTTCTCCTCACCCATCCAATGCATTACAGGTTTATTTGACAATAATAAGTACATTTACTGTCATTTATCGATTTATGCAGTAGATGTGTTGCTGACAGACATCGCCTATATTAAATACGCGTAAAACAAAATCAAATTTTCCATAAGAACTAAAGGAAGATTGGGGGGTTGTGTGCATTAAGTAATCCCAAAGGACTATTTTATTCATATAAAATGATTTCCGTAGTAATGATTACTTTCAGAATTATTTAGTTTTGGGGCTCTGTCCATCGTCCGGTATTGTATAAACTAGAAAACAAAGTTTCGGAAACTGGATATATTTCCGTCCTCAGGCGAAGAAGGGAAGACACCTACACAGCTGGGTCCGTTACAAAGAACTAACTTCAATCACTGGACATTATTTCGTATTTTATACCGTCCCTGCGCGCAGCTATGTACGCGCAGCTTCGGTTGTCTTCAAAGCCAAGAAGTCGTCCGCCATATTGCCTGTTACTAATCGTTTTATTGTGGGAAATAAAACGACGTAAATTAAGAAGCTGCCTGTTACTGATCGTGTTATCTCATTATAGCTATAAATAAAATGATAATTAAGAAGTGGTATATATTCTTCACTCACGTAAATCCAACGCATGTATATCAGGAAATGGCTGTAATTATGTGACGTCACTTACCTGCGGCTGTCTCAGTTTTAAAACAAAAGAAATTGCAACAAAGAAATTTAAAACTTGTTTAAAACAGAATCTCAAGGATCATAGATACATATTTATATCTTATACAGGTTTCTGTAATCGGAGTGTACCAACTTCCAGAAGAAATATCAAGAGTATTTAATTACATCCTGTATCAATAACAGGCAAATAAATTTACTTAAAATTTGCATCCTTTTGTGTACTTGGCCGGTCACTGTAGCCGAGAGGTCTAGGGCATGTATTGTCTTTGCTTGGAAGCCGGGATATTGGGTTCGAATCCAACACAAGGCATGGATGTTTGTATGTGTGTGTGTTTATTCTGTTTGTGTTGCCCTGTCTGTAGGCAGATGCCTTGAGGCGGGCTGATCACTCATCTTGTATAAGAAAGTACCAAATGTATATGACACTGAACGAAACACGTAGCGGGTTTTAACAAGTATTACAAAAAAATGTTTTCATGTTTACACAGGTTGAATGCGTTCTGCAGAAAACATTTTCCGTCTTTAGACAGGCTGAATGCGTTCTGCTTAAAATGGGTTCTACAGTCAAAGTCACATTGCGACTTACGGACGGACGGACGGATGGACGGTCGGACGGACGGTCGGTCGGTCGGTCGGTCGGTCGGTCAGTAAGTAAGTCCTGGTGTCGAGCCACATCTGGGGTTCATGATCAGATATTTATTACCGTTTGACAGTTATGGTCTTGTTTATGTGGGGCGCCCTCTCTGATGAGAGGACGGGTCTGTCTTTCGCATATACTGCTGGCCCTTGTCAGCGCAGTCTTTCTCAGCTCCGGGTTCCTAGGGACTCGCGACCATATTTTACTGTCTCAGATTCCAGATTTCCCTTTTCGTCGCCTCCTACGACCCGAAGGGTCACGGTGGAGGTATTCGACCGCGCCCCCACACGGGTATGTGAATTAAAATTAAAATGGTTCCATCTTTACCTAGATTCAATATATATAATTACTCAGGTCATGGGTAGAACGAGACTTGTGACAAGCCCTCACCCTCTGTTACTTCTACTGATTTCGGAAACGTGCTCCTTGGTAGTGCCCTCCTCAGGCAGATGGTTCACGATCACAGCAACAAGACTCAACTGGTAACGTTCTGGTTTGTATTCGCGAAGTGGAAGACTCGACTCTCGGCTAAAATATCAACTCTCATGCCGTTGTATATGTTTCTCTCAGTCACATATCAGGATTATGTCACGGGGGACTTTCAGTTCTTATCAATTCTTTATTTATAGCCATACTGTAACGCGATTTTATAATGACTATAGCCAGGGTTTGGATCGGTAATCGGATTTATTGAGGCCTGGGCCCACTGGGGCTGTAGTGCCAAGAAAAAAAAAAGGATTTATTGAACCCTTACAGATCCGTAACTACAAGTAATTATCACCGTTTCACTAATTCACACACTTTACAGTTCACTAGACGACACACTTAAGTGTTCTAGCATGTTATGTCTTCATTGGTTGCCTGGTAACGGCTCCCAAGAGAGAACGTTCTCCTTACTAAGGGTTCCTGAACTATCCCCGACCTTAGCTACAGCAACACTTGACGAACTCACTCACTAACTGTCCTAACATCCCGACACGGACCGCACAAAAACACCGTTACTCTGTTGTCGTCTAGTTGTTTGTTTTGCGGCCGTTGCCTAGCAATGGGTCTACATGTCACAATACCATTGTACGCCACACAGTCTGAGACACTGACAGCGTCGTTAAATTATAAATAAAATAAAAAACTTGACTCTGTCGTGTGTCCACTTGTGATGTAAATAACAAAAATTAACTGAATCTTCGTGTTATAAAACTCAAACTAGCGGCATGTTGTGCACATATATATAGGGGTCGCCGCTTTCATGAGTTAAAAAAGTTTTCCTAAATCAGGATACGTGTTTCCTTTATTTCTAATTTTAATATTCTCTTTAACGGAAACAACGTTGTATTAGTGCTACTGTATTTTGGTATTCTCTTTAATTCGAACAACTTCGAACTTCTGTCAGGCTCGCAGGCGACTATTATTATTATTATTATTATGTTATTTTCTTTAATTCGAACATTATTTGCATTTCTATTATATATATATATATTTTTTTTTTGCTAGTGGGGTGGGACTAAGTCCCTTGTACTGCGGCCACTTCTGGCCTATTGCACCAGCCCCAGATGATAGGTGAGGGTGATTGTGGAGCAATTGGTGGAGTGAAGATTGGCAGGGGAAACCAAAGTACTCGGAGAAAACCTGCCCCAGCGCCACTTTGTCCACCACAAATCCCACTTGACCAGACCCGGGATCGAACCCAGCCAGCGACTAACCGCTTGAGCTATGGCGCGGCCTTTTCTATTAGAGCCGAAGCAACCCTACGTCATATTCTCTTCCAGGATTATAATTTCGAAATTAAGGCCAGTTATTCTGAGTATATTTATCGCTTTCCCTCCAGGAAAAATTCAGTGATAAAAAGGTAAACATGACCTTGTGCTCAATAAATTCAACACTACTCCATGAAGGCGGGACCGCCTCTGTGGTCTAGTGGTCAGAGTTCCTGGCTACAGATCCAGAGGTCCCGGGTTCGATTTCCGGCGTTACCAGATTTCCTGAGAAGTGGTGGGTCTGGAACGGTGTCCCCTCAACCTCGTCAGGATAACTGAGGAGCTATTTCAAGGAAACAGCGGCTCCGGTCTAGAAAACCAAGGTTAACGGCTGTGGGGATTCGTTGCGCTGACCACGCGACACCGTCTATTCGCTTAAGTTGGCACTTGACTTCGCCGACAGCGGCGGTGGCTCGGTCTGTATAGTTCGTTTGCGGACTACAGGCCGCGGAGTTTTTTTCTTTACTCCATAAAGGCGTATGAGGTAGTGGATTTATATTTTCACATTTTCTTGACCTCGGCACTAGTTCTGGGATAATAACTTAAATTCCATGGCCGTTTCGTTCCGTATTCTAAGACAGTTCATCATTCATTTTCATACGAAAGTAAAACGTGATTCGGTTGCTAAAACATCGTTCCTCCGAAACGTCGGTTTACACAAGATCTACACGGCGCTACATCCCAGATGACGACATTCTTCAAGTACTGCTTTACTTTGCTTTCTTGCTTTGTTTATAAACTTTCATTTCGTTTAAAAGTGTTCTTATGTATCAGCTTAGAGTTGAAGCATATGTGGCGCCAAAAATTGTGTTCAGGCTTATTCCAGTTTCCTTGTAATAAAAGAATTGGCGTATTCTATTAAATTTTTATTTGTATTTTCAAAAATTCAAGGATTTTCGTACCCCCCTTCCCAGTTCCGCATGGCAGCAAATAACAGAAGTGACTGTGGATTTAATTGGCATTTCGTAACGAGATATTTGTGACACTGTAATATCCACAAGCATGAAAGAAACGCGTTTTAAGGGGGAAAACCCAACATAAAATAAGGTAAAACCTAAATAAAAGAAAATTAACACTTAAATAAGGAGAAGTGGTAATATAGATGTCAGCGTTCATGCCTACCTTTGTCCTGCTGTCCTTGTCCTGCCCTGGCTCAGATAACACTGGATCTAGTGGTATTACAGAATGTCGTCTTCTTTTTCCTTGTTTTCTTGATGGTGTTTATGATTATGTTGATTCCAGTAGGCTTTGGCTGCCGGCAGCATGTCGCAGGTCCATCGTATGTAATATGAAAACGGGGCGTACGCCACAATATAAAAAAAAAACGAAAAAAGGAAAAACCAAGTTATAGAATGATTATGCTGATAGCTCCTCCTCCCAAATCACTGCCCCCTCAAAAAAAAAAAAACACTCACACGTACACACGCAGAATAATTATCTTTTCCTCTTTTTATTATTCCACTGCCTACTCGATACACTCACACACAAGTATTCCTTCCTACAGTAAAAGTTCACGTGAGCTGTTTCAACTGTTTTTGTATCTATAATCTTTGCTTCTTCTTCTAGACTCGTTCCGTAGAATACAACATTTCATAAAGGTCTACTGTGTGTAACTAGGCAATAATAGGACTTTAATTAACTGGAAATATCAAACATAAACCCAAATTCGATTACCTCTTGACTGTGCTACGCCCTGGTGGCGACAGCCAGAAAAACACAGAGGCAATAAAGCTAATGTCAATGCTTGTTTTATATTTGTTTCGGGACTGTAGAAAGAAATAATAAGATAGTAAACATATAATAGACTGTACGTGAGGTTTATAAATAAATTGGAACAGAAAACACTTCAGTCTGATGTCCTTCTTGAAGAACTGATAAAAATTTATATAAAGAACGAGAGATAATAAATCTAACACTCGAGCAGGTAGCTTCTCACTGTAACCCAAGTCTCAATGTTTTGTGTGATTTTTTAATCACTTCAAATGGTTGCATGTTTTCGTCCGCTGTACACATATTTAATTAAAATGAATTATAAGAATAATGCGAACAAGATACAAGTCAGTTTATTACAATTTAAAATTTTGTTAAAACTATTACGTTTGTTTATTATCTCTGTTTTTCTTTCTGCGTAGAATCACACCACTTGAAAAACACTCGCAAGCGAACACGTGAGTTGTGTGGCACAGCACATGCGCAGCTCCAAGTTCCACTACCGACCCACTACAGCTCGGAAGTCTGTATGAATGTTGTCTCCCTAGTCTTCGCCACTTATAACACTGGCATACAGCTCGGCTGACTTCGGAAATCTTCGCGCTTACGCCACGCCGCAAGCAATCAAGTCACTTTGATTTGAATTGGGTGTATACACTACATCGGATAATTTCCTCTTCCACAACAGAGCTATCGTTGTCTTTTTCCATCTAGTCTCCTTCTTCGAGTTCTCATTGTATTCCTTTTCCGAGTCTTCTTCTAGTTTTCGTCCTTTTCCTCTCTCTCTCTCTCTGATCCTCTTCGTTCTCCGGCTTCTCTTTCTTAATAATCCTTTTCGCCTTCTCACACTGTTTCATATTCTTCTCTTTCGTTTACTTTTCGTTCTATCTTCCACCTCCTCGTTCCTCGCCGTCTTCCTCAACGGCCATCACCAGGACTGTCTGCAAGGGAAACCAGAATATGTCTGTACAAATTTAAATTTAATCCGATTAAGGACATTTTTACCAATAGTTTTAGTGTATTCAGACTAGAAAAATAACTTTCAAAGATATGTCTCTAATGTGTGTTATTAGTATTTTATATATTTTATACATGATTCAATTTTTCTTTTTGGAACCCCCTGTGGGCGGTGTCGGCCCCCGCCGTTGCCAGTGGGCCTCCTCCTTCCCCTCTTTAATCCTCTTTGTACTCGGATTTAGCGTTATCCATCATCTTTATCTCCATTAGTGTTTTTCTTATTCCCCCACATACATGGGGGCACGCGGCAGTGTATTTGGTGGTCGCGGGTTCGATTCTCGTTGAGGTAATGGGATTTTTCAATTGGCCTAAACTTTCCAGCCTTACAATGGCTCTGGGGTTGACTCAACCTCTAACAGAAACGAGTACCAAGAATCTTCCTCGGGGGTAAATGTGCGGGCCGGCGCGTAAAGCTGACAACCTCAACACCATATTTTACCCGATTGTCTAGAAAATGTGGCAGCCTCGACGTCTCACAACCCTATGGCCCTCCATGGCCTGTTGCAGGGATAATTTTACCATTTGCATTCACCCCTGCATACATTCTTATTGGATGTTTCCTGAGTGCCACATCATCATCATAATGAGACTTGCAGATGGCGCCATCACATTCCTCCGAGTGTCTGTAAACCCAACCAGACTAGACGAGGTCACCCCTCTGGAGCCAGCACACACTGCCGTTAGACCCTCAGACGCTGGCACATGTTGCAGGTCTACCTGCCACAAATGACATGCTTCTAACAAGTTTTCGTTGTATTCACAACCTGTGATGGTGTATGGCGATGTGGAGGTTAGGCGTAGAGTACTTTTATCCTTTGAAATCACTGATAGATTGTTGTCTACGTCAGGTTCCGAACGCTTTTATCCCACTACGTTCCCTTTCGTCTCTTCCGAATTCTTGTTGATCTCCACAAACATTCGTTAAACTATTAAATAAAATAGGCCATGACAGTCTAGTTCCTCGTCTTAACAAATCATTCCTAATTAGTCTTTCTTGGAGGTATTTTGGTATATTCAGTTGATAAAACTTCGCCACATAAATATACTAGCTTAGCCGATGTTGCTACAGACTGGACGGCTGAAGTTCGGTTCCAGGTAGGGCAAAGTATTTTCTCTATTCCACAGTTCCCAGATCGCTTTTGGGGTCAACCCAGACTCCTATCCAATGGGTACCGGATGTTCTTTACCCGGGGGTAAATCGCCCGGGGGCGTGAAACTGGCCAGTCACCTTCATCTACTGCCAAGATCAGGAATGGTGGAGTTATACCTCCAGTCCCCGTAAATCTTCATGGGCACAGTGCTTAATTAACTACAAGGAACAAGCAGGATTTTCCAATTTTTATAAATAAACGGCTAATCCTTCAACATCTGAAAATGATATCGCAACGCCTCGAGACCCGGACCTCGATGTGAGAAGAATCCGAAAGGCACAACCGGAAATGTAACCCGATCATCATGGGATCTCCTTGTTGCTTTGTTTATAAAAGGTAAGGAAGGCTATCCCTGTAACAGGCCGTGAAGGCCCATAGGGTTGTGAGACGCCGAGGCTCCCACATTTTCTCTAGACAATCGGCTCACAGATGGCGGTAAGGTTGTCAGCCTTAGAGCCGATAGAGCGCTGCACGTGTTGGCTTAGCTAGTACTAATTCTACCACTGGATAAACCTACTACCAGTCGTTAACACTTACGTCAATTAATATCATTTACGTCATAAATGCTTGTATATAGAGCGTCTTGGGACCAGCATTCTTCGGTCACCATCTTCCCACTGGATTGCAAATACAGTAGAACTTGGTTATAACGTCATCAAAGGGACCTAAAAATCTAAAAATAGTGTCGTTATAAACGAATGTCGTTGTAACCGAAATGGGCACTTCCACAGTAGCCTTATGTTAGTCACGTAAAAATCTACCAAAAACAGAGTTAAAATGTTGCATTTTTTAGTGAAATACATAGTTAAGTACAGACTAACGTAACATTAACGTGGAATTGCCCAAATGTGTAATATCAAAGACATATTGCAGCGCTTTTCACTGACAATACACACCGCACTAATACTGTATATTAAAGGTAGGCCTACTCACCAAATTACAGTAGATTACATCAATTGTTGTGCCTTACTGTACCTAGATACGAGTACAGTAATCAGTTATCTTCATCTGTTTCCTGTTACTTGCCCAATACACACTTTCTAAATTACGTTCAATGTCCATATCAGAGAAATTCAGGAATGAAAATGACGTTACATACGAGGTTGATGCATTTGTGCATGTCGTACTAAGCAAGGTATAAAAACAGTTGCTTTATGAGGAATTAGTTTGTACCATTGAATATTTGACGCAATAGACAAGGTGTCGCAGAAACCGATGTTGCTATAACCAAGTTTTACTGTATTCGCAGCCCCAATTAAAGCGTAACTAATTAACTAACTAACTAACTAGGACCGCGCCATAGCTTAAGCGGTTAGTCGCTGGCTTCCCACCGCGGCTGCCCGAGTTCGATCCCGGGGTCTAGACAAGTGGGATTTGTGGCGGAAAAAGTGGCGCTGGGCCAGGTTTTCTCCGAGTGCTTCGGTTTCCCCTGCCAATCTTCATTCCACCAATTGCTCCATAATCACCCTCACCTACCATCTGGGGCTGGCACAATAGGCCAGAAGTGGCCGCAGTACAAGGGACTTAGTCCCTTATACTTAGTACTTGTACTTAGTATGTAGGCTACGTCAAATGTTTTAAAGACCGACGTCAAAACTTTACATTTTATGACAAGTAAATTTATTTCATGATACGCAACTTAAGTTTCAAAATAAAGTTGTATTACCTAAAGAGAAAATTAAGGTCCATTTTATATATTCCATGAACGTATTTTCTGCAGCACTTCTACGTATAAACCGGACAAGGGTTCGCTCCACAATTACTCCGGGTTAGTGAGGTCTTACCTACGCGGTAGCGTAGTTGGTTGATACACTATACTACAAGCCGGAAGGTCCCGGGTTCAGTTCCCGATGAGGTCATTGGATTTTCTTTCAATTGACCTAATCCTTCCAGCCGCACTATGGCCCTGGGGTCGACTCAGCCTCTAACAGAAATGAATACCAGGAATCTTCCTGGGGGGGGGGAGTAAATGGCGGCCGGCGCGTAAGGCTGACAACCTCACCGCCATCTGTGAGCCGACTGTCTATAGAAATTGTGGGAGCCTCAACGTCTCACAATCCTATGGGCCTTCACGAACTATTACAGGGATTGCTTTACCTTTGTTTACCTATTATCTGTCTATCAATGGCTCTACAGCCCTTGTCGACTTTGTCCGCTTTCTCAGTTTCTTAATCTATACACCTTCGGTAGAACTCCTTGGACGGGGGATCAGCCAGTCGCAAGGCCGCTACCTACACACAGAACAACACAAACAGAATAAATGCACACATATTCATGCTTTGAATGGGATCCGAACCCACGATCCCAGCATTCGAGCGGGCTTAGACCGCGCGGCCACTGTGACCGGCTTTTGACTTGTTGTAGTGATGTGTATGCCGAAATTAACGGCCGTTTGAATTCCTTGCGCCGACCACGCGACACCCTCTATCCGCTAAAGTTGGCACTAACTTCTCCGACAAGCTGCGGTCGCTCGGTCGCTATAATTCGCTTGCGGTCTAAAGCCACGGAGTGTGTTTGTTTTATTTTGTATGTCTGTTCATACACCCTTCGAATTAATTAGGAAAACGCATATTATGCCCGTGGTTGCTAGTTGCTAGTAAATATTAATAACTATAATAGTTAAATCGTGACAGCAAGGCCTGTTTTAGTTCAGTCAGTGTCGGAATTACTTTGCGACTGACAGTTTACCGTCAATCAGTTCGTCTTGGCGTCAAGCCCCTTGAGAACCACGACCAGTATTTTTTCTTCAACTGAACTCTTGTGGTCATAGTCCTTATGTAACATCCTCCCTGACGACGGGATGGGTCTCATTTCGAGTCCCGAAAGACTTATGACCATATTTTACTGTCTCAGGTTCGAGACTCCCCTAACCTGGAGGGTCTGGTCTGTGTGTTTATATCTCTCAAGTACAGGGTGTACTTGTTATACCTCAGGCAATGGGTTCGCTTTTCGCCGCCTTTTATGACTCGCAGGGCTACAGTGGAGGTATTCGAACCAGCCTCCACACGGGATCCAGATATACATTTCTTTCTAGCGGCAGAATCGGGTTCCCCCGACCGAGGACAAAATATTTCTCAGAAGGTGACAGTTCGTAGCCCGCTAACGGAGCCAGGCAATTTCCTGCTTCGAGAAACAGCCTGTAGAAATCATACACGCGTATCTACTGCCGCTGCTTTGAAAATACGGGATTCTCTTAAGCCTGGCTATTTAATACATATTTCTAACCTTTATTTATTTTAATGCATGATTTCGTGTACACTAGCCCTATGTAAGGTAAAGTTATCCCTGTGCTCAACTAATTAAGCACTACGCCATGAAGGCGTATGGGGGAGTGGATGTATAGATCCATATTTTCTTGACCTCGGCACTTGCTGGAGGTGAGTGGTGAGCTTCACGACCTGGCCGCTTTACCCCCAGGACAATAGTCCCAGGTACCCATTGGATAGGAGGTTGGGTGGACCCCAGAACTGGTCTGGACGACGTGGTGAAAAGATTCTTGATCCTACCGAGACTCGAACTCCGGCCCCTCGGTCGTCCAGCCCGTAGCCAGTCGCTACACTGACTGCGCTCTTCCGGCTCAGTGATTAACAAGCAACTCATTTTAATGTTTATTTTTAAACAACCGCGAAACGGTTCCAATTTAAAGCTTTAGTTAAACAAAATAATAGATTTCATTAAATAGATTTCTCACTGGGTAACCTTCCTCTTTCTATCTCTGTTTTTTTGTTTCTTTGTAGCTTTACATGTACACAAGCCCGATTCAGTGGCCGAAATACAGAGTGATTCTAAATTATTGTCGGGTGTCCGTTTCTTTACACCTCGGAAACCCCGACAATAATTTAGAATCACTCTGTATGTCTTGGAAGGTATCTGCAGAAATAAAGCTGACATATCGATATATTATAATTACTTATTATGTCTTCTTGTTGTGGATGTACTGTTTCGTCTCTTAGTGTAAGAAAATATTAAAATTTATGCATTAGTTTTTCTCTTTTCTATTTAGTTTACTATGCATCAATTTACTGTGCTATTTATTGATATTGTTTGTATTAATCTTACCTGTTAAACTGCTGTCTTCTTGCTTGTGCCACAGTAGGAAGTTCATATGCTGCTGTCCTCTTCTGATTACCGTTACTCAAGCATAGAGTGTATAACAGTTACTGCTTTATGCGCATGCGCATACCCGGGAAGAATTTGGTTCGTGAAGGCTAGAGCAATACAAAAAAAAAACTTTTGGTCTTTGGACTTCTGTTCATCAGTTAGTAGGTTCAGTTTTTAGGTTACTTTCCTTCTTTAAAAAGTAAAGTAGGCTTATGCAATCCCCATGCTGTCTGTGATTCCCCTTCACTCATCAACTTTTGTATGCCTGATCCAATTCTTATGAAACTTGACATGTATATCATGGCATCTGAGCTTATCTCAACGGTGAACTTAATAAATTCCTCCCTTCAGTCTGTGTTCCTAGGCAACGGCTAGGTAAAAACGCTACCGTAGAAACAAATACGCAGGCAACTATAGAAAAATTATTAGACGCGTCATTTTCTATGAGGTCCATTCTTATCACAGGAGAATCCGTGGGTTTGTCTGTGTATCCCTCTATCGTTTCTATGTATCAACTCGGTAAAGAAGTTCCCGTGGTAACGAAGAATTGTTGGAGGCTTCGTGTTGTACGCGATCCGTGTCGTATCAAAGAAAAGTAGGCGATTAGTTCTTCCCAGAACTTCTTGTTAGCATATTATCCTTGTATAAAAACAAATAAATATAGGCTTATGAGAATACGTAGTAATTTATGTACTATCTCAACATCCACTAGGACGGACTAAGGAAAATCACGACAAACGTAAAGGCAGGACAGCTAGCCAGCCCCAGCTGAGAATCTAACATCAAAGCAGCGCTGGAGCTGTTACATACACGAACGTAAACGTTGTCTCTGTGCTTAATTAATCATCATGCCATCTAGAGCATAGGTGAGTGGAGGTATGGCTCCGTGCATTGGTTTTGTTCCAGTAAAGAAATTGTCCTCTATTGCTCAACTCGTTTTCTAGTCGCTATACCGACTAAGCTGCCCCCGCTCCTCGCAAGCTCCGCTGCGCATGTGCAGAATACACAAGCTGAAGAGAATCGGTGAGTGGGATGGCTAAGCTTTGGTGAATAGAGACACTCTAACCTTTGTAGGTTATATTACAGCGATGGCTATATAACGATGATTTCGAGGCCCGTAATGCGTTTCACAATTATGACAGACGGTGGGCGTGGAGGCGTAATGGCCAACAACATCAAGAGCGTATTTGTTTGCGACTACTTTGATATGTACATACCACTAAAACGCAACTAGCCTTGTACGTACGTCTTCACTAAAACTAGGTTTGAAGTCTTTACGAATTTCACTTTTATTTATGGGCTTCTATGTTACCTAGATACATACTACTCAAGAATTTCCCAGCATTTTATGGAACCCAAAGGTTCATTACCGTGTTCACAAGAGTCACCCACTGGTCCTTATCCTGAGCCAGATCAATCCAATCCCTTGTCACCACGGCATGGCGCGTCCTCAGGTTGCAGATGGAGACGCCTTCCAGGTCTGGAGGGAAGCTGTGAATATATTGAATAAGCAGTCGCGGACAGCCGACAAGGGGTGGTCCTCCAACTTTGGGGGTTGTTCGTGGGGCTAACAACTCCTTACCGTAAAAAATAAGCTTGTTACAAAAATGTCCAAAAAGCCTTAGACCTGGACGGATCCTCTGGATAAACGACCTTTCCCTTAACCCTTCCTGTTTAAACGCTTTTACAATTCTATGACAGGAGCCGGGGTGGCGTAGTTGGTATAGTGACTGGCTACGAGCTGGACGACTGAGAGGTCGGAGTTTGAGTCCCGGTAGAGTCAAGAAATTTCTCTTCTTCAAATCGTCCATACCGGCTCTGGGGTGTACCCAACCTCGTGCACTATGGGTACTGCGAGTTCTTTCGCCGGGAGTAAAGCGGCCGAGGCATAAAGCTGATCACTTGCCTCCAGCTAATGCAAAGGTCATGAAAATGTGGATCTATACATCCATTCCCCATACACCCTCAGAGCGCAGTGCGCTGTCGCGGCTATAGTGTTTCAATAACAGAATAGTGAAGCTTTGATACTGACTGTCTATTCAGTTAGTAGGACGCGCACGTTTACTTCTGAATGTGTTATAATTTAACGGTGAAGATTTACACTTGGATTTAATGTTTATCTGATATAAGATAACATCGCGTCATAGTCCTTATTATTTAGTTTGTCTGAAGTAGGACTCATCTCCTAAGAGTCTTGCTGTTTTCGTGATAATTACACTCATGGTATCTTCAGAATTTAGTGGCCACAGTGGTGCAGATACATTAGCATTGTTGCGTTGTTTGTGCATTTACTTACTTTCTTGATCACTTCTTATTATTCTTCTTTCTCTTAGCTGTTGTGACCTTCAGGATTTCAAAGGGCCATAATCTATAGACCTACATCTAAGGAAGAGACGTGAAACTCTCAAAGCTAACGTTTAATCTTAGAAATTATTAACCCCGAAAAAACTGCCGGAGCAACTTGCTCCAGAGGACTACTTGCCTGATTTGTAAAGAATGATATTGTCATGATTTATGTGTGTCTATAGACGGGGTATGGATTTGTGAATGCCTGTCACTGTAGCCGAGCGGTCTAAGGCATGACCTGTCTTCACTCGCTTGGAGCCCTGGATCGTGGGTTAGAATCCCACACGAAATATGATGTTTGGCATGTGTATGTGTTTATTCTGTGTTTGTGTTGTCCTTTGTTTAGGTAGAGGCCTTGCGATGAGGTGATCACTCATACAAGCAGACCTACCGTCTGTAAAATGGTCATAAAAGTGAAAAAAAACGGAGCCCAAAGCCCAAGGGGGATGTAGAGTCAGAAAAAAAATGGATTGGTGAATGGATTTATTCACCACTTATACACACGACTCGGAACTACAGTAATTACAGCGCTATTGCTGATCTGCACATTTTACAAATCACTACACGCCAGGTCTTCTCCAGCCTGCAGTATCTTCACTAGACGCTGCTTGGTAACGAATCTTAACAATGGAGACTGTTCTGCTTCTGCGCTCACATCGTTACTGTCCGGCGAATATTCCACAACTGAACTGTAGCGCACTTTCTTCTCAGCCTCCCTTGCAGAATTCAACTCTCAACTAACTTCGTCGCCCCAGCTGTCTTCCTTATATCCCCTTTACACGGACCGAGTGGAAAACACTGTTTCTAAGAGTAATTCTATTGTTGCATGCGTATTCATTGTCGCTGGAACATGTTTACCAATCCGTTGCCTAGAAACGGCCGTTATTTATTCGCCTATCTCGCACCCATTGCATATCAACGGCTGTACACACTACAATATACGAGGCCTGTGTTACCGTCAGCAGCTTGTGTGTGTATTACTGAATAATTTTGGAATGAATTGACAGGTTTTCATGAAACTTGGTTGGAACATCATGCCACCTTTTATGTGCCTTACTCTCGAAACCTCTAATGACTGCGCGAAATTCTGATATGGAAACAACGGTTAAATGCTTCTCAGCATGGGACACAGAAATGTGTCTGATAAAACAAATGTTGGAACTATAACCAGGTCTTGTTAACATAATATTTTTTTACCGATCTGATTAGCGTTGTGGTAACGTTGTAGAAGAACTGTTCGAATTTTGAACGGGACAAAACAGCTATATTGATTGAATTTTTGTGGGGGGCTCCCCCCAGTCCGTCCAAGTAAATGCCGAGCTAATGCTTCGATTAGGTCAAAACCGCTTCTCCTTCCAAGTCCTTTCCAATTAGTCATTCGCTATCATCCTCACTTTCAACGCTATGTAATCTGAGATATTGACAGCAGAATAAGATATGCTGCATTCGTATCACTTTGTGTTCTGTAAACAACGATAAGAAATGATTGATTATGGGTTGTTTAATGACCCTTTTTTTTCCAACTGCATAGACAGTAAGACCCGCACTTAAAATTTTCGGTCACAACTAATTTACCATGCGCAGTTTGGAATGAAGTTAGACCACAAACACATTTAATAATTCTATATGATTTCCACGTGCGGGAACTGAGGGTCTGACTCTGCGGTAGTTACGAATACTTCTATCTGCAAGTCAGAGGACGTTTCGGATGAACATGCCTTTTTCACGCTGGTTTCTTCCTTGAATTACTCTTCAACCCTGAAGATGGAGGCAAGATGATCCTCCTTAGATTCGGTTGACTTTCAGTGGATTTCACGGAAGTCTGTCTGTTAAGTGTTAACAATTACGAATATGGGCATGACGCGAAACTTTGAGGTTATGTCTGTAACTAAAAGTTAAATTTATGCTGATTGAAATCATGTATAGAAAAATATTAACAGTTCCTTATTATCAATTATTTCCACAGTCTCATATACAATGCATATGTTCCATAAGGCTTATTAAAAGATGCTCATTTTAAAGTTTTACACTACATGTTTCGACCAATGTAGTCATCATCATGCGTTAAAAGTTATGGATGAGAAAACTGCTGTCTTCTGTATCGTTGCTTAGTTTGTTAATATACAGTCCCCTCACTGCGCATGCGTGTTCATTTGGCGGGTTTTGTTTCTTCATGCTGTGTTATAATGCGTGTCTTGTTTTCAAATGTTAAGGAAGTAATTTATACTAAGTGAAAAGTGCAACAGGATGCTACACTGTCATGTCTCCAGTCCTATCTTCCACATTCACATTCTTTGTGTCCTTTTCGTCTATTCTGTTCTATTGTCCTTTTCTTTACAGCCGGGATAGCTCACTCGGTATAGCGACTGGCTAAGGGCTGGACGACCGAGGGGTCTGTGTTCGAGTCCCGGTAGTATCAAGATTCTTTTCGCCTCTCCACGTCGTCCAGGCCGGTTCTGGGGCCTACCCATATTACTATCCAATGTCCGTGTCAAGAATACGTGGATTTATACATCCACTCCCCCATACGTCTCATGGCGTAGTGCTTAATTTGTTAAGCATAGGATTAACTTTATTTTTTCCTCGTTTCTTCTGTCCGTCCTTTCGACTTCGGCAGCAGAACAGTGATTTTCTTTGCGCT